GTTGTGTGGAATGTTGAGGTAAATATAAATGAAATTTGGAAAAAAAATGGAAACTAGTGTTAACAATATACATGAGAATATAGCAAAAAAAAAGTTGTCGGTGAAACTAAGAGTGGTATGCCAGAAAACAAGAAAACATAGTAGTGGGATGAGGAGATATAGAGAAGTAGCAAAAAAAAAAAAAAGCAATTTAAGTTATAGCAGAAAATCAGGAAGAGAGAAGATTGGATAGAATATAAGAATGTAGGTAATATAGTGAAGAATGCGGTAAGCAAAGTAAAGCTTAATAGGTAAAATGATTTAGATGAGAGGCTAGAAACACGGGAATGAGAAAATGGAATTTTAAGATTGGCAAAGGTTAAAAAAAAACGATGGGACTATCAAAATTTTTGGTGAATAAAAAATGATATAAAATGATGGGGGTGGGGGATTTGGTATGGAGTAAAACATAGGATTAATTGTGGTTGGATGAAATGGAGAGAAGCCGTTTTAGTTAGAAGTTTAATTAGACGTTTTAGTTGATCAGAAAATTCCAATGAGCCTGAATGATTAATTTTACAGAAGTGTAGTGAGACCAATTATGCTATATGGTTGAGAGTGTTGGCTAGTTGATAGGAGAATAAAACAGAGTATGAGTATAGCGGATATGAGAATGCTTAGATGGACGAATGGAGTAAAAAAGAATAAGGAATGAATATGTAAAAGGTAGTATTGGTGTAGCGTCAATTATAGACAAGATAAGAAAAAATAGACTTTGATGGTGCGGCTATGTGATAAGGCGAGAGGAAAAAAAAGCAGTAAGAGTTGTTAAAAAATTAACATTTAAGGGAAAAGAGGAAGAGGAAGACTAAAAAAAGAGATAGTTGGATACAAATGAGAACGATATGAATGTTGTTGGTATGTGCATAGGTAATGTAGAAAATCAAGATGAGTGGAGGTTTAGGACAAGGATGGTTAACTCCAAACAGTTGGAAGAAAGACGAAGTAGAACAAAAAGATCTTTTCTGAATATCAACAACAAATAGGGTGAAAAATGATTATAAAATTGTCTCCCCAACACTAACAATAAATGATGTATCCAAGAGGGGGCATAGGTATAAGCATAAAGAGCCCATTATTTGAGGGGGAGGGGTACAAGCCTCCTCTATTAAATTAATATATAAAAGTTTATACTTCATTTTGCGGGCTTGGCATTTATTTTAGGGTCTAAGACTTTCAAACCCACCTATTTGCAATAATGAGCAAGAGGCAGCCTCCTACTGATCCATGTATTAAATTATTATTAAATAAGGCAATGTTATTTATATAATACGTTTTAATGTAGCGTTCAGTATTTTATCAATTGCAACCAGTGGCGCAACAACCGGGGCGGATGGCGATGCCTAGCATTGGGGCCCCATCATATTCGTAACCTGGGAGGGTGTTTTTAATATTAAAGAATTAAGTCAAATCTGTGATCATTTAAAATTTTGACTATAGTTAAATTTGATACCAATAAAATTGTAATAATCAATAATTAATACGTAAGGGCACAGTGTGGTACGTGCAGACCGTGCAGTCCGCAAGTTAAACACTATAATATGTACTATTTTATATTATTATATTATTTATATTCTATGTTCTATAGACTATAGTTCTACAGCCATTACCCATTACTTAATATTTTGTATAAATACGCAATACTGTTAACATTCTGAGGATAACAGCCCAATAGACGATGGTATCATACAGATTTGTGGCGGGAGAGGTCAATATTTATTTCCGACTTCGATGCTCATCGTAAACATTATTAATAGATTATAGAAATCAAGATACACTGACTATTTAAAATAGAAACAATAACAAATATAGTAATATGACAGTTTATAAATGATACGTCTATCGGTCTATCGCAGGGGTCGGCACTGGCGGACCGCGGTCCGCATTCGGACCGTGGAAGGCAATACTCTGAACCCTGTCGACTTTTATTTTCATACTCCTAATATTGTAATTTTTAATATAAATTAAGTGTAATAACCAGATAATTACTTTTATTTTTATACTGCTATTTTTAAAAATATAAAGATTTGAAAGATTTTTTTCACTGGACCACATTGATTTATTATTTTAATCTTTAGGACTCCAATATAAATTACTTGCCGATCTCTGGTCTATCGTTTATGGTCTATGACAGCGGTTCCCACTTTTTTTTTCCGCGGTGCCTTTTTTTTTTTGGTCTCAATTTAGCCACATTGCCCTGCTATGAATAACATGAAAGACCAGACAAAAAAAATACTCATTGATAACTAATTTTTTTTAATTTTATTAAAATTTAACTTCATTATAAATTAATCCATTTTTAAACCGAAAAATTAAATAAATAAAATTATTATTATTATAATTATTACATAAAAATGAGAATGTCCGAATATACAATAGAAAATATTTCATTATTTGATATAAAGTTTTTACAAAAACAATAAGGAAAAAATTTTTTAAAAATTTTAAACTAATTGTTATGAACCGTAGACCCTGGTGCCCTTAGAAAGTGCTCGCGGTGCACAGTTTAGGAACAGCTGGTCTATGATACTGTTAACAATATATAAATATACCGGTTTTCTTAGGCTACGGTCCTATGAAGTTATTTTTAAATTCCATGTAAAATGAATTAGTATATGATATACATTGATTACGTCTATTATAAACGTGAACTGTGAATTACCAATATTAGTCATTGTGCAATATCTACCTTACGTCGTAAACCGTCGACACACAGTATCACGAATGTTATAATTTTAAATATTTTAATTAATTAAATTAAATATTTATATTATGCCACCAAAAAGTGATTCTCAAAAAAGAAAATGAACGAGCTCAAAAAGATGCTGAGTTGAAAAAATTATGAAGTTTTTTTGACAGATTTCTGCCCAACAAAAATGGTACGTACCTATTAAGTCATTTATTAGTATGGGTAAAATAAACTATAAAGTCAAATAAATAATATCGATATTCTTGTTGATCTTAATAATTTATATCTGTCAATTATTATTGAAAAAAAAAAAAATGAATTACTTATTTACTTGATAAAAAAAATCTAATAATTAATAGCTCGATTAATAGTATACCTACCTACAGTGGAAATTTAATAAACTATATCTAGTTATTGAAAAATAATATTAAACAATAAAACGAATCGCATTACCTAATATATTAAGGTTTTCCTTCATGATATTATTTTGGTATTCAGTCAACTTTCAAACAAAATTAATTACTTAATTAACAACAAAATAATATGATCTAAAACAAATACATCTAAATAAACAAATGTTCATGTAATATATTATTTTTTTTGATAATATTAACTGACTATGTATTTAGGTACCTATTGATATTTTTGTTTTTAATCATATAATATTATGCATTATGCAAGTATAAAATATTTAAATATAGGTAACTTCAATTTTTAATATGTTTTTATGTTAAAAAAAATGTTTTATTTACCTACTTATCAAATCACAATTAATTGAAAATTTTTAAACCTACAGTAACTTCTTCAAGTGTTAATTGCATTGGAAAATGGTGGCCAAGAAAATATTGGTGAAATTTTACAAACTGAAAATAGTGAAAATGCTACTGGTCATTTGTGTAATTCAGATTATTCAGCTTGTCCAGGTATTACTTTATAAAAATTTAATCTAGTATTTCTTATTATTTTAAACATTTTTTATAAGCAAAAATAATTCTGCTCTAGCTGAAAAAGTAATTGACAACAGCACAATTCTTGTTAAATCTACTGCAACTTCTGCGAGTGAGATAATTGCGTTGGAAAGTAGTGTTTAAGAAAATATAAATGAAATTGTACAAACTGAAAATACTATTAGTCATTTGTGTAATTCAAATGATTCAGCTTGTCCAGGAATTATTTATTAAAAAGCAATCTGGTTTTTTGAATTAAAATTTGTATATGAGAAATATTCAAATATCTCATATTCCCTATATTCAATATAAATTATAATACAATTTTGAATGATTATTATTAAGATATCATTATTCAGATTTATCAAATTAAATATTGTATATGTTTAATAACCAGTTATCAATAATAAATAAATAAATGATAAAAAAAAACCTATTATTATAAACAATAATAACTTTATTAGTATTTAGTTTATACAATCATTAAATTGTATTGAATAAATAATTCCCTATTAATTATTAGTTTAGTACATTTGCTTATTTTGTCAGCTAGCATATTTGAGAAGTCATTATATTAATTCCGTAGCAGTTTTAAATATAGTAGGTATAGTGTGTTATTGCATATTACATGTAATATAGTACCTAATACATTATACATAGATTTATACTTTATACTTTTGATATATATTATAAAGTTTATTTTTTTTTTCTCAAATGCATAACTTTATTTTAAATATCAAATAATTACCTAGAATATATTATATTGTTACTTACATTTATATTAATCTTGGTACTTGATTTATTTTACTAAAATTTTACATTTTTGTTTTTAGAATTTAATTTAAAAAATGATTACCCAACTGATCGATACCATTTTGATGCGAATATCAAAGACAGTAATCAAAAGAGACTTATCTTAGCATATGGTTTTTGCCAACCAACAATTCAATTTCCATATACTGAACATGAAAATGGCAAATCATATCGTTTTTCTAAACAATATTATTTTATGAAATTGAAATCTGGATTAAGAGTCCCAAGAAAATGGCTGTTTTTCAGTAGGTTTAAATGTAGTGTATTGTGAGACATGTTGGCTATTTGTGAATCATGTTTATTCATATTTTATTCCATCCTGGGTTAATAGAGTTAATAACTGGAATTGTCTCTCAGCCAAGATAGATTTACATGAAAAATCAATACAACACATTGATGCTATTAAAGTACGTTGTATATGGAAAAAAAAAATAAGACTATCGATAAATTAACTGAGCAACAATACTCAAATGAAGCAGCTTATTGGAGAAATGTTCTTAAAAGAATCATAAAAATTATTCTCTTTTTAACATCTGGCAATACAGCATTAAGAGGACATACACATAAAGGCAAATTTAATGAACATGAATATATAAATGAAGGTATATAATCATTAAATCTACTAATACTTCATAGCTATATATAAATAATTGTATTTTATAATTGTATGTGTTCTAGGTAACTTTATGCGTTCAATGAAACTTTTAGCTGAATTTGATCCTGTTATGAATAAGTTATTGAATGATGAAAACAAAAAAATCAAATATCTTAGCTGGAAAGTATAGAATGAATTAATTAGTATACTTGCTACTATTATAAGAAATTTAATTTGTCAAAAAGTTCAAAATTCGCAATGCTTTTCTATTATTGTCGACTCCACACAAGACATTACAAAAATTGATCAAGTCAGTATAATTTTGCGTTATACAATACTCAACTTTGATGAACGAAATTTAAGTATTGAAGAGTCATTTTTAGGGTTTTATGCCATTGATAAACATGGTGCTAAAGACTATAAAGCTCTTATAAATTCCATTCTTAAAGATTTACATATTAGTATAAACAAACACAGAGGTCAAGGGTATGATGGTGCATCAGTAATGAGCGGGCTTTATTCAGGTGTTCAAAAACGAATCAAAGATCAAGTTCCCTTAGCACAATACGTGCATTGTTGTGCACACAATTTAGACCTGGTTATTTCAGATGCTGCTAAAAATTCAAAACAAGTTGCATCTTTTTTTTTGAAACTGTGCAAAGCATATTTAATTTTTTTAGTTCAAGTGCTCCACATTGGTCAATTTTAGCTTTTGATGAAGCTGATACCAAAAAAATAAAAGCTAAAGTTCTGAAAAAGTTATGTGTGACAAGATGGGAAGCACGACATGAATCGATTTATTCATTAAAAGTCAGATTTATTGATGTACTGAAAGCTTTAACAAATATATCCTTAACAAGTTCTAAAACCAACGAAATAAGTATGAGTTTATCTTTGAAAAAAAATTAGAATCAGTAGAATTTATTTTCCTTCTTTGTTTATGGGAAGACATTTTAAAACCCTTACACGGAGTGTCTAAGTTTCTTAAAAAAAAAAGATACAAATTTACATAATGCATGTGAAAACTTGAAACAAGCTACATCTATAATTAAAGAATTGAGAAATAATTATCATACTTTAATGAAAACAGCCAAATTTATGTGTACAAAATGGGGCATTCCTCAGAAATTTCATGTACATAGATTAAAGTTTGGAAGAAGATATTTTGATGAAGTAGATGGCGACCGTCAATTAGATATTTCAGAAGATAATTTAAGAATCAACGTTTTTCTTCCAGTCGTTGATACAGTAATTTTTCAATTAGATAATCAATTCCAGGGTTTAAAAAAGGTAATTGAATATTTTGGTTTCTTAAATCCTTTTTCATTAGTTAATAGCACGGAAGATGATATCATTAAAGCTTCGTATGATTTCATTCATTTTTATAACGTTGATATTAGCTCAGATTTCACCAGACAACTTTTATGCATAAAAAATTTAATAAATTTAAAAATAACTAAAAATATTAAACAACTAGCCATGTTTATTATTGAAAATGATTTTTACATCACTTATTGTGAAGTATTAAGTGCTTGTATTATATATCTCACATTACCAGTCGCGGTTGCATCAGCGGAACATACGTTTTCGAAGTTTAAATTAATTAAGAATTCTTTAAGAAATTCAATGGGTCAAAATCGTTTGTCAAATATTGCTCTATTAAACATTGAAAAAGAACAAGCCAATATCCTAGATATGGACAAAATAATCAATCAATTTGCTGAAACCAAAGCAAGAAAAGTTAATATACTTAGTTAAATAATTATATTTTAAATTTAAAATGTTTTTTTTATTTAAATTTTTCTTTTTCAATAAATTTTGTAATTTTGTTGTTATTAATTATTATTAAAATATAACCAGAAATAATTTACACAGTATTATTTCGCTGATATTAAATACAAATTGTGTCAGCATTAACAAAAAAAAAATTTACTACAAATACTTAAGTAATTATAGGACCTCATATTTACTTTGTCTTCAAGGCCCAAAGACCTTAGTTGCGCCATTGAGTGCAACTAAGGTCATGGACCAGGAAATGGATAATTTAGCTTTATAGGTAGTCTTCTTTTACTTTAATTGGATAATCATTGATAGCTTAATTATAATATCTTAGTTTATTTTGTATTACTAAACATTACATTTTTTTATCACTTAAAAATTTAAATTAACAATTTTTTTTTGTGTCTAAAAACTTTTATAACATTAGTATTAATGCACTAATATTATTGCTACAAATCATAATACATAAAATGTTTTTTACTATTATTCTGAAAATTATTTAATAGTAAAATAAAAATGTTAGGGAACTATTTATGATTACATTTAAAATTCCACAACTATAATGTTAAGTGTAATGTAAAATTCCTTTTAGATAACTTTAATGAAACAGTTTATCATAAGTTATTTTTATTACCATATCATTATCCACAAATGCAATACTATTACTATGTCTTAAGTTAAAAATATTTAAATGATAATTCAATAATTTGTAAGAATCTACAAAAATCAAGGACCAACCAGTAAAAGATATCAAGAGTTCTTAAGTACATTTTTAATTCACATAAGTATCAAGTTCTTGGATGTTTGAACTTAGCAAAATATTTATTGAATATATCATATTAAAGAATATTTTAAAATTTACAATTAATATAACTACAAAGACCAAAGTACTTAACAAATATATTCATGAAGAAATAGAAATAATCGTTTTAAAATAAGTACTAAGAAGTTATTTACTTCAGTACTCCAATATTTGAGCACTAATTCATAATCAATAATAGATATATGATATTCTGTACTGAGTACAGGATAAATGATTAACAAACAATTACATTTCTAGGTCATCTCTCAAAGAATGATCGCAATAAATACGTTGTGTCTATTTATAATGTTATAAGAGTATTAAAGTACCTACATACATAGATAGCTAATAATAATTAAATGTATTATGTTACCTGAAATATTTAGATAAATCCGTAATCTCTTGATTCAAAATTCCTAAAATTTAAATTAAACAAGTTTTGTAATTTTAAAACTTAAAACCGCACAACAAACAAAACGAAATCAAAAAATTAACTTGGGTACAAAAATATAAAATAAGTGGGCGCTCGCACTAAACAGCTATCTCATTTTGTACAGTCACAGGCATCATAATATTGATAACGACTTTAACGGTTAACATGAGAATGTTATCGTCATGATGTATGTGCCACTTTGTCAGCTGTGATGAACGATCTGTGGATGAACTCCAATAAGGCTGCGGCCACAGTGACACCGATGTCGGTCGGCCAATAGTCACAGTGTCTCAGACGATGGTCGATAAAATTGGCCAACAGTTGTTCATTTCAACGCAATGAGTGCAGATTATAATTTAGAAAATTGATATCCTCTCATTTTTGTGTTTGGAAACAAGTCCTGCTATTAAATATTTATTATTAAAAAAGCGAAAGCATCACACGAATAACATTTTTAAGGATAGGGAAAAATATGGAGAATTCCATACATTGTTTCGCCAACTATTAGAACAGCATAAAGATTTACTACTATGGTCCTCTCCCCCATAAGCTCCTTTCATGGACCAAACTTATTAATTTCTCACAGTCCACGATGAAAATGCAATATTATAAAATAATTTTCGTGTTTGTATTGATTACGTCGACTGAATCTGCCGATAAAAAACAGACGAAATTGAATTTTGTCCGACTGAGTCCAGAAATTGGTGTAATCGCCCGATGCGGTCGTAGGCACTGAGATCACTTTTTTCAATATTTACTTTATTTGAATCGGCCGACGTCGGTGCCACTGTGCCCGCAGCCTAAAACTTACATTGTACAATTTACTTTATCATGGTACTTATAGTACTATTGTCTTAACTATATTTTTATTTATATTTATTTTGTATATAAAATAATGTTCAAGTATAATATTTTAAATATTTTTGAAAAATAAATAATTTACTGATTGTAAGTAATAATCTATATTCATTTACATTCTTGGAAAACCCATTAGTCTTTTTTTTTTTAAAACTCACAGAAAACGTCTCAACAGAAAACTTGTATATTGATCAAGGCTAATTGGTTTTGTCGTTTTGAATGTTAAATCAATTGAATCCCATTTTTAAAATATTTAGATTTTCATTCATTCAAATTTTGAGAAATAGTTTTTCGTTAGAAAGTAAGTAGTAATAATAATGCTTGAATTAAAAATGGTTGTGTCTAGTTTTGTACATTTATTTATTAAAAAATGTTTTATTAATCAATTATCAGATTAAAATCCTATAATTTAACAAGATTTTTAATTTTGTCTGTTACAATATTTTAAAAACAAATTATGATTATACTTTAAGTAAAACAAAATATAAAGAATTTCATACTATAATAAGTACAAGTGATTTTGTTTCTAAGTACTTCAATTTATCCACATGAGTTATTCTTCTATACTTTTTTGTATATTGTATACAGGGCTGTGGAGAGAAATCAAGGGTCCCAGGGATAAATTAATCCAGGTCCTTCTTACATGAGGTATTAAACTTGCCACTGTCATATAATATGAATACTAAAGAGATAATGTAATCACAGTCATGGTTATTCCACAGACTAATTGAAAATAATTATTTAGTCTATGGGTCTTTCTTGAAAATGTTATTTGTCTACATTTTAGATCAATATTGTAGTGTTTATTTTATTGTAGACTTGTTATAATTATACGGCATATGCTATAATTATTTGGGTAGGTTATTAGCATGATTCATGTTGGTAATCCATAAATAACGCAACACCATGACTGATCCATAGTGAACTTGGTCAGGCCCAGGCCTTTTTTGAAGCCTGGACCCCTGGGCTAAAGCCCCAGCTGTCCCCTCTCTCATCAGGCCTGATTGTATACACAGTTAAATTGGTTAATACAAAAACTTAATTATCATTGTGTATTTAAATAGATGGTAAAAAATATAACTTGCTATCAAAATAATTATAATATGAAACAATGTATTATTAAATAAAAAACAATTTGATTTAATACAATCTAAAATTTTCTTCTTCTCCTGTTAGATCTTTTATTAGTTGAATTATTAGGATGAGTTGGTGGATCATCATTATCATCATCACTATCACAATTACCTTCACCTTTATTTGTATTCTAAAAAATATATAAATTTTTATATTTTAAATTTTGTATTCAAAAACTGAAGAGTCAATTATAAACAGTTCTACTATACTCAACCAAAATAACAAAAATATAAAAATATATAATTACTTTATTCCATTCCCTGTGCAATTCATCGATCATATTAGGAGTCAATAGTCCTTGAGCTAAAAGTCTTTCTGTAAGTCTGCCCTTTCCAATATTATTATTATTAAAATTTCTTTGGGCTGATCCTAATAAACAAACATAATACACATTTAATACCAATTTAGAACTTAAAATTTTCAAATATACCTCTTAAATAATTATGTTTATGCCTAGCAACATTAAAATCTTCTTCAATTGATTCACTATTTGGACTAGAGGATTCAGAGTTCTTTAACAATCTAGTAATTTGAACAACACCTTGTTCAATAATATCATCTAATTCTGCTTGCATATCCCTTACTAAATTGGCTTCAGGAAATAAATCAGTAAACCTATAACTGCAAAATCATACAAATTAAATACAATTTTTACTTAGACTTTAAACAATAAAAGAGAGAATACAAACCTAAACCATAAGTACAAATCAAGAACATCAAACACTGCTTCTAAATGTACTAAATCAATAATAGTTTTTGGAATAGTGAAAGGCCATCCAATATGCTTGCATAGCCAATCAAAAGTGATTGATTGATTTTTACTATATTGTCTAGCATACTATTAAAAAAAATTATATTCATTCATGTACAAAAAATTACATATTGTACTTATTGTCAACTCTAAATTTACACCTACCTTCAGAAACATGGTGCAAACAAATGGCATTTTTCTATTTATAGGTGCACAACAGAAAACATATCTTGCTCTAAGCGGTAATGGCACATGCTGTATCATATCAGCAAGAAATTTAAAATCTTCAATGTTACACATGAAGTACAATGAATCATCGACAGTAGACAATGAAATAAAAATATCCTAGCATAAAAATATATCGATTAGAAAATTATTTAAAAAGATTTGAATTGTTTTCAAACCACAAGATTGGATAATGTAGAATTTGGCAAATGATATGCATATAGTTCTATCTGATCAGCAGTTGGATGAAGTCCTGCTTTGATTATAGGTTCAGGTTTTTCTGATAATATATTTCTTAAAGTAGATAAATCTTGTGGTTTAAATGTTGTGACATAACCCTGGAAAAAAAAAATGTTTGAAACATCATATAAATAAATAATTATAGATTGATATTTAAATTACCTTTTCATATTGTGTTCCGTAACGCCCAGCTCGTCCTGCAATTTGAAGTGCTTGTGATACTGATATAGTATCCATTTCTTTTTCTCCCTTCTCATTTAATGTTGGTTTTATTAATGAATAAAATATAATTCTTCTAATACTTCTAAAATATATAATTTATATGATGAAGGATTTATATTTAAATAAATTGTAATTTTAGAACTTACAAGTTTAACCCCATTCCAATAGCATCAGTAGCAACAAGAACATTACAGGAATTTTTAGGGTCATTGAATTTTTGTGCTTGAGCCAGCTTAGTATTCGGAGGCAAACCGCCGTAAATTACAGCTACTTCAATACCCCTGGATTCTATTCCTCGACTAACCTACAGAAATATATACATTTTATTTATTTATTATTAATATAAATGCACAATATCCTATTTAAATATATCTAATTACCGTGTATACATCATTTTTACTGAAGCAAACAATGCAATCACCCGGCATAATATTATCTAAATTACTAACTGCTGAATCTTCAATAGCTAATTCAGTAAGTCGTTTATACCTGCAAACCTTAGGAAAAAAAATAAAAATAAAATTTACAAAAATTAAGTAATTTTGAATTATAGGTATAATTACTTTACCAATATATATATATATATATAAATACCGATAAATATCATACCTGAACATCTTCACCAGTGGTTGTCATTAAACCTTTAACTAATTCAACTGCACCTTCTTCTCCACAAATATGAATTTCATTGGCCACCAAACCTAACAAAGCTCTTGTCCAAGCCCAACCACGACTAGGATCTTTCATCATTTGTATTTCATCAATTACTGCAATGTCATCTTTAAAAAAAATAAAAAAATATAAAATATATTAAATTGTAATTATAATTATATATATATATTATTAAATAACATACAAGGTGTGTTTACATTTGCCATTTCAACAGTACAAGAAATGTGTTTAGAAGCTTCATTTTTTTCATCAGCAAATTTTCTTTCTTCTCCAGTTACCAAGTCACATGGAGTACCCTATAAACATTAAAATTATTTTTAAAAATAAAATTTAATTAACAGAGGCAATAAGATTAAGTTTATTCTAGTGTCATTGATTATATATAATCAGGGCCGTCCTGAATATGAAAATCAAGGGGGAAGGATGAATTATATGAAAAATGCTGACTACAATTTTTTTACTCAATGTAAGTAGTATAATTAACTAAATGTAGTCGTATTTTTAATTTTTAACATGTATATATGTGTCAGTGTCGCACATTCTTAAAATTTACAATTTAGTTATATATATATATATATAATAATATTTTATATTGTATAATAAGTAGATATATAAATTTTATTCGTGTATACACTGTATTACGAAACATGTAATATTTGTTTTATGTTTGTAAAATTAGGTCCTTCTAGGTTATAATAAAACAAATTTGACTGCCAACTGGTGTTTTCGTTGGGGGGGGGGGTGAGACACTCCCCCAAAACCTCTCTTTTTTGGAACTGTCCTGTATGTAATTGATGTTAGTGTTTAGTTATAAGTTAAATTTGTCTTACTCTTTCATTTGATTTGCGATATACTTCAGTAGCCAAAAGCTTTAATGGACCACAGTAAACTCCTGAATTGGAAGACAAATACTTTTCTAAAGCATGATAGGTTTTTCCACTGTTTGTCGGACCCGCATGAAACACTATTTTACGATTAATAGCTCTAGCTTCTGGATACCTACAAAAATAATTGTTTAAAGTTTATACCAAAGACAATTTATAAATATCATACTTGGTTATCTTTATAGACAAATATGATTATAACTCTCTAAATCTCTAAATCCAATAACAATTATCAATAGTAATTTTTCTTCTAACAATATATGCTTACATTTACTTGACATAGCTAGTAAAAATATTAATCAAGAGATAAGACTATGAAAAATAAGTTGTAAAACACTTAGTCAAAATATTTGCTATAATATTGAATAGTGATATAAGAATATTAATGATAAAAAAAAATTGCAAACCAAGTCAATGAAATACAATTATAAAATAAGTTATTCTATACAATTTCTTATGTAGATGATTCACCATACGAAAAGGTCATTAATTATAATCTGATAAACAAATAATGTAAAAATTAAAATTTTATAATTATTAAATAGTTGAAAACTTGAATTTTGGTTTATTTAACTTACTAAGAATTTAGAATTTATGAACTAATTATGAAATCTATTTGACTTCCTAACTACATAATTTCAAAAATCAAAAATGTATTTATAAAAACCAATTAAAACACCGTATGAAAAAAAATTCAAACTAACCAATTAGCAGGTGAACGAAGATCACTAATTTTCTTTAAATCATCCATACACTCAAGGTGTGGAAACATTTGTTTCGCATGTCTTAAAAAATATGGAAGTATATCATCTACATGGCCAGCTCCTTGAAGAATATCACTAATAACAACATGAAGATCAACAGGCAATGTATTGGCTTCAAGACAAAATCTTCTAAAACTTATATAGGCTTGATGCTGCAAGTAATCTAAATCATAATAATAATATGAATATAGTTAGAATTAATTAATATGAATATCTCACTATCTAATCCATTTTCTGAAGCCAGCTGTTTGATTTCTGGCTTTTGGTAAAACCGATTAAGTATTTTTAAAAGATCTCCTTTATTCAGTCTTCCAGTAAGTTCAGCACCAACATTTATATCATCTGGACTTGGTTTAACAGGTACAGGAACAAACAGAGTAGATAAGCTATCATCTTTTTTAAATCTTTTCTGCATAACTAACGAAGAACATTTTGGGCTCCTATATCTATAATTAAAAAATTATTTAATTTAATATTAAAATGACAGGACAACAATTAAACATACAAAGATTATATTATTAACTTTTACTAGATACGTCTAATGTAATGAAATAAAACAATACTCTGAATATATTCTAACCTGTGATGATATTTCAATAATGTACTATAATGTCTGTACTTATTGGCACATAAAATAGTAAAAATATTCATTATTCATATATTTCTATTATTTATATCTGTAATCGTATTGCCGTAATACATTTATTTATAAATTATATTGAAAGCCAATTATTTTACAAGTACAGTTAAATGTTAAGAGTTTTAAATACCTAAGAAATAAAATATTCAATTTTTAAAATGTGCACTCTTATCACTGAAGAAATTATTTATCCCACTAGTTTATACTGTTATCGATATTTTTATCAATTGTGTTGTTTTTTATCTTTGATCATTCATCTGTAATATTGACTTAAAATGTTTTTTGTATCGGTGTAAATGAACCATAGAGGAAGAATATGAACTAAGATTTAGACAAATTTTAATCTAAGGATAAGACAATTTTGTATCTACATTCTAAAATATTTTAAATGTAAACTTCTATAATACATGTTACCACTTTTATATAGATCAGCTCTTCAGTAATTACTTGAAATAAAAAATTCAATTTGTTGCAATGAACAGTTAATGAATGAGTTATTGATTTTGTTTAACAAAGTGTAGCAATGGAATTTTTTAATTTTTTGGCAGATTGTTTAAAAAAAGTAAGTTATTGATTTAGGAATTATTTAGGCTAATTACAAATTTATATCTAGGTATATATATATATTTATATTGTATTTTATGATCTGTTTTGTTGATGAAAAGTTATATTGAAAATATATCTGAAAAAAAAATTTAGTGTCTTTACTCTTTAAATATAATATTAACAATGTTTTTAATTTTACTAAGAACACTAAGTTTATCTAAATAGAAAATATTTAATTTTGGGAAAATTTCCATGTATACAGAATGTAGCATTCATTATATTATTATGTATTATATAAACATGATTAAAAGTGATTAAAATATGTTTAAAAAAAAAATTAATTACATTTTTATCATTGCATACTCATTTGATCATAGTTAAAATGACATAATTCATAATTGTTTAAATTAGTACAAAATAAATTATCCTTAAAATCTCAATTGTATTGTACATTGCATTATAGTGATCTATGACTACTGAATACTATATATATAAATTATAAATATACAAATAGGTACAAAGGAAATTATCTATATAATATAATACATCTTATGTCTTAAAAATAAATATATGATGATTTGAGTATAATGTAGTTGTATTATTCTAATCAATAATAAATTAGGTATTCTATAATTTATTAATTATCTTATATATAAAAGTAAACATATATACAAGTGTAAGTATAAGAAACAAATTTAAAAAAAATGTAAGATACTGTAAAAATTGAAGATGAAGATGGAATGACATAGAACCATAAATATACTCTGCTTTAGATAAGTCAATGGCTTATTTATTAATGCTATTACATTATAGTTTTTGACAGGACTAAATGAAATGTCCACTGGACTCTGTTTTATATTATCCAAGGTCTATGTTCGATATAATTCACTAAACCTTTATAGTATTTAAAATACATATTTTCATTAAATTAATTTAAAAATAAAAACACATTAATATTTTATATGTTGTACATAGTAAGTGTTTTATTTATTAGATGAAATCTGATGATACATTACCAAGAGTAACATGTCCACGTATGTATAATGATGGTAATCTAACATTTGAAGGATTAATGGTGGTTTTCGCTTCATTTTCTACATATTTGCAATATTTAAACATATACAGATCAGTATGGTGGTTGCCAAATTCAAATTATACTTCATGGGTAAAATATTTACATACGTTTTGTTATACATTTATTTATAACATTATTTCTTTAAAAATAATTCTAATCTCTTTTAACTTGACTCATAATGAACTGTACCAAACAAATAATTGAACTACATTTTTATCAACTGAAAAATTAAATTCTTGTTTTTTTTAGATTTATTATAATCTATAAAATATATAAATTACTAATGATTAATAATCATTATAAATATTATGATTGATTTTCAGAAAATGCATTTAATTGATCAACAAGTGGTTATATTTATATTAGCTATGCATTGTCGAAGGTTTGTTTATTGCTTGATCACTTGGGTTTTTCACATTTTGTGTCCTCAAAATTATTGGAAATTCATCAGACTATTTATTAGGTATGCTGATTATATTTTTTTACAATAATAGCTACTTATAAAAAAAAACTTATAAACTTATAAAAAAACTACTTATAAATACCCTTCATGGTAATTCAATTAAATTTATATTACTGTATTTTTATTTTCAGATTATTTGTTACAGTAACACTATTTCTTTTATTAGCTTTATTAGCATTTGATCTCTATTTAAAGTATGATTATTTAATAATTATGTACCTATTTATGCCGTGAGTAAATACTTGATTTTAATTTATCTTACTTAAGATTAAGTTTTAAAATAATTATTGTTTTCTGTTAGAATTGTTGGTTATTTATGCTACTATGGTTTTAAAGCATGTCCATTTTTTGACATGATGTGTATTAGTGAAAAAGAAATAATTATAAATGGAAAACCATTAAGTATGTATTTAATAATTATGTTAAAATAAAATTAGTCAAGGCTTTAAATAAAATAATTTTTAACCTAAATAATTTATTATTAGTCACTGAAATATTTAATATTTTTCTTATAATCATAATAATAAAAATACATGTTTAACGCTCAAAGACAAATACTTACATTATAACTTTTATTATTTAAAAAATAACTTAATCATAATTTTCAGTTCAATATACAAATATGCATGTATGTACATCAAACCCAAAAATAATTCGTACAGAAGTGGAAAATATGAGAGATGATTTTAACAATAGACTGACTCAAATACTATTTTCTTCTTTTTTCTCTGCATATTATGCATGCTTTTTGCCACTAGTTTTTGTGCAAGTATGTTATATTTATTTTATTTATTTAAAATATTCATATTAAATAAAGAATTTAAAAAAGTATTTTAGGTATAATTTGTTTATGGAATAGTATACTTGCTCTATTAATGAAGTAATATATTTAAGGTGGCATTTTAAATATTGAGAGATATTTTCACTATATTAGCAATTAGTAACTATGGAAATCAATTTAATTTGTTTGCAATTTTTAAAAAAAAAGAAACAGTAAATAATAATATTTAAAAAAAACTATCCAAATTGATAAATTAAGCAATATTATTGTTTAATATCTGGTTCGATTTCTTAGTTCAGTGTCAGCAATACTGATTATACAATAAATAATAATAAGAATCTTGGTATTGATTTAAATCAATAATAATAGTTTTGAATACTTATAAATCTTAAAATATACAGTTTTATTTTTAAATAAATTAGAAAACAGGTTTTGAATGCCAAATCCCTGAATGCTTTATCCATAATATTTTGTTTATTTATATAATTTAATATTGTTTTATATTTATACATTATTATGAAAATAAATACAGAGCTATAGTGGATATTTTAAAGAAGTATTCTAAATCACACTTCCCATGAAATTTTAGTTAAAATTATTATTTAATTTTGTTCTTACATAAATTTGTAGACATATGTGGTTTATGAAGAGCATTGGGTATTAATGCATTTTCCATTTGTAATGATGACCATGGGCATGATGTTATGTATTCACTACTATCCTGTTAAGTATGTAACAATTAATTTTTATATACTTATTTTTAATTTCTCTGAAAAAAAGAAATAATAGTATTATATGATAATAAAATATAAAATATTTAGGTATTTTGATCATTTACACAAAGCAGCCATGCATTTGGGCCGTTGGAAAAGGGTAAAATTAGATCGTCCTCATTTGCCCATACATTTGTTTGTATTTATATTATATATTTATTGAATCTATTTCAGTGATTATTAATAATATGTATTAAATATTGTTATTTATTAATTATAGATGGTCAGAAGAAGTGGTTTGGCAACAGGGTTCTCTCGTTCGACATAATCAATGTTTATACAAAGCCGAAGGAGTATCAAATGTGGCTGAACCTGGAAAAAATGCTGACAAAATGTTTTATGTATGTATATATATAAATTGAATAATTATAAATCATTTTAATATATAAGAAATATTAATAAGCAGTGGTGGCTTGTTTCTAATAGTAATGGTTGCTTTTCTCACACAATTAGAAAAAATAACCAAACAAATTTTAATATTTTGAAGAGTATTTTATTTATATATTTATAATTTATTGATGTGTTTAATTTCAAGACATCTATGAGAATAAATCTTATATAAATCAATGGTAATATAGCATTCAATTTTAATTAGTATCTGTTATAAATGTTTTAATTTAATTTGATCAGTAGTTGAAAAAATTGGATGACTTGTGAATCATTTATTTGAGTAATTGTTTGTGAAGTTTATAGGTTTCAATGAATATAATTTTTCAAATTTTTTTGTGTAACTATTACAGTGTATTACTCTTAGTTTTTTGTTGCTAAATTTATATTGCACACCTATATAAATCACTATTCAATTTATGAGCCATCGCTGATCAGTAATAGTTTTTTATTAAGCTCTAAAAAAAATAAATATTTTGTTTTTTCTAGAGAATTTTCAGTAACCCTTCAGAAACAGTATTTTTTACATTAGCAACAATTCAAATGTTATTCATGGGTGTATTAATTATTGCACTAGTAATAAGTTTTCAATGGCATCATATATTTTATCTTTCATTTGTATTGCTGCTAAATTATGTCACACTCTGTAAGACTATGTTTAATTACCGTATGACGGCCAAGATCTATAAGTTGTTGAAGGAAAAAACCCAGTAAATATTGTTTACAAAACTGTTCAAGCACACCAGGCTCTACTTTTACCTTCTATTTTATCAATATATTTGACTAAAATGTACATATTAATTATGTATATAACAGGGATGGGTAACTCAAAATAACTAGAGCCAATTTATGAAACTTTAAAACCTGGTAGGCCAAAATAAAGAAACTAAAAAAAAATTATCATTCAAATTGATTTTTAGCATTCATTTTAAATTATTAAATTTTACGACTGAACCAATGCAATAAAATAAGTACCTAATATCTATAGCCATGTTAGGTATGCCAAAATGGATTTATATTATACTCCATGTTCATTTATACGATGATAATGTGGTGTTTACTCGGTGTTACATTTTTTTTGCAAATTTTGTGATAATTATATGTTAATGTCCTATGGTTGCTATCTATTTCTCTATCGTTAATTATTAATTGTAATAATTTTCGGGAGAAAAATGGTGTTTATCAAACATTGTTAAGAGAACTTGCCTCAGAAGACCCAAAATATTTACTCTAAAGCCGGGTTTACGCGACGCAAATCTGATACGAAAGTCAAGATTCGACATGTTTCATCCTATCTGAACTTGCTTCGGGTAATAAACTAGTCAAGCGAGGATGTCTCGTGGTGAGCGGATGCTTATTCGGTATTTGGACGCGCGTCAAAGAAGATTCGTACATTTGTTTCGCGTCATGTGAACTACTTTTTTGAGCGTAGCCGCAATGGATCAAAATCAATGTACTGGCACACATATTGCCGTCATCGTTGCGTCGCACTAACTGTGACTCGCCCTGAATCACATTGCTTCTCGCATAGATACGTATAGTATAAAAATTTAGGTGAATTAGATGTCTCGCGAAGCAGCCTCGCAAATCTTGCCTCGCGCTTCAGATTTGCGACGTGTAAACCCAGCCTTACGAAAATACTATCAACTATCAAGTCTTTTTAATAGTGTGATAGCACTATCATAATAGTGCGATTGTGACTATCATGAAAACTCCTACACACTGTACGATTTGGTCAGATCAGATGTAATATCAGGTCGTGTCAGATGACGTAAGTGCGATTCCTTTGGACGCGTCTGTAGATGCGCGGCCAACGCGGCTGCCATTATAACGGCCGATCACGGATTTCTTAAAACGCAGCCGCTCATATTTTTCATACAAAATAAAATATTTATTGGAGCCCTTCAGTTGTTTTTCTACGTTTCAACAGTCAACTGTGTATTGTTAATTATTAATTTTATTGTGTATGGTGAATATCTAAAATATTATATACAGTGCAGTGTAGGACGTATATATCATGTCACTTAATCTGCAAAAAAAGGAGACATTTATTAAACTTCTTCATTTAGAAGAAATAGATGACGAAGAATTACTTAACAAATTTATGTTAAAAAAAAAAAATCAAAATTTCCATGATATGTTTCAAACTAGAAAATTTGAAGATTTTTTCAGTGTTTTAATTAAGAAACATTTATTCCGTGACCAAAGAAAATTTAGAGAGTTTTTAGACTTAGTTATGATCAATTAACATATGTTTTAAATTTAATAGAAGATCAGAGCCAGATCTAGGGGGGGAAGTCGGGGATTTATCCCCGAGCGTAACATTTTAGAGGGTGTAAATTTTGTAATTATTAACAACTAATTTGATATTTTTAACTTCGTTAAATACTGATATTAGATTAAAACTCAATAAGTACGATTGTATATTGATTATAAGAACACAATTTATTTGAGTATTTGTTTATTAGTCTATGGATAGGGCGTAATTTTAACATTTTACCCGGGCGTATAAATTCCTAGTTCCATCTCTGTAGAAGATGATATAAAATGTAATGCGTACAATAGACATTACATCTTCTTCATACGAAAAAAGTAATTTTGATGACATATTATAGAAAAATAAGCTAATAATTATAATTATTAATTAAATAATAATATATTTGCATATTCTGGCCGTGCGTTTCGACTGCCTTCGAAGCGGTCATCGCAACACGTTTATTGACGCTCGCGTCTGCGGCGGTCTAGAAAATCAGTTTCTATTTAAAAATAAGTAAAGTAGCATGGGTGCGTCCAAAATCTCGGCCGAACTAAGGCAGCCGCATTGGCCGCGCATCTATATACTCATCCTAAGGAATCGTATCTTAAGTCCTGTGGGGTCTTGTTAAGTGATCATTCCATCTAACCTTCCGACCCACCATCCAAATCATATAGTGTATAGTTTAGAGCAGGGGTCGGCAGCCTGCCGCCCGGAGGCCGCATGTGGCCCGCGAAGCAATTTTTTATGGCCCGCACAAGGGTAGTTAATTTTTGTGTTTTATTTTTGTTCAATAAATTTTTCATACAATTTTTAATATTATTCAATTCTTTTTTCTTTACAAATAAAATTGTTATTATTATCTTATCGGAGTCTAAGATAATGATGGATGCACTACTTAGTCATAGGATAAATTAAATATACTTATATATATATATATATATATATAAATTAAAATTTTAAATATATTTAATCTATGTATTTAATACATATGTATCTAATATATTTAATCTATGGTCATAGGTACTTTGCGTTTGTAATAGTTTCATTTTACAAGTAAATCCAAACATTATGGCGACTTAAAAAAGAAAATTTGTGATGAACATCGTTTTTTTGATAATTCTTGAGTTTATTTATACTTTTTCTTCGAAAACAAAAGTAAGCCATTATGTTTAATTTATCAAAAAATTTAATTTTTTCCAGTAAAATTCGTATTTTTTACACTCATATTTATATGTAAAATAATCAAATATAATAGCAATACAATTATTAGTATATGTCATATGTAAAATAAATTTTTTTATGTGGCCATTGATAAACATTTGAAAAAAAATATGGCCCGCGTGGTTCAAAAGGTTGCCAACCCCTGGTTTAAAGTATTATGTGACAACTATCATCGTGTAAAAACGAGCCTTTATTGACATTTAATAATTTAGTTGCAGTTTAATACTATATAAGAATATACTGGTAATATATTTAAAACGTAATTTGAAAATGTTGTTTTGGGCCAGGTTAAAAAAAATATGTGGTTTAGATATGGTCCTCTAACCAACCGCCAGTTATCCATCCCTGATATATAACGAAATTCTAGATTTATCTTGTAACTGTAATGTTTGAATATTAATAATGTAAAGTATCTTTGTTTTGTTCAATTTGTGTATGATTGCATTAAATATTATAGCATAGTTTTAATTAATTTCCTTTTAGATTTTAACAAAAATATATAATTTCAAAACTCGACCTAGAGTTTATAAAAGTTCCTTAATTATTTGCGAAATTATTTTTACTTTTTTATTCAAATCTAGTCAATTGTTTATTTACTTGTATAAAAAGTTAATGAGATAACACATTTGTTTTCTATTATTATTTAGTTCCTTCTATTTTATATCAATTAGTTTACCTTAGTTTATGTAACTAGAGATTATAAGATATTATTGTTTTTATATTATAATATGTACCTATCTTTTTTTTTTAAATGTATATTATAACTACCAAATTGCAATAATTGAGTACATCAATTATAAGTATGTATTTAAAGTTTTAAACTTGTTATGTAACATTTCAAACATTAATGTATCATGTTTTTTTTTTTTTTTTTTTATCAATACTTTTAATTAAAGTATTTTTTTCAAACAATTTATTTGCTTCCATTATCTTTAATATTATATTGATTTATAGAATTTAATTAATATTTAAAGTAAAAATTAAAAATTCATTTGTTTTACATGATTACCCTAAATCTGTTAGTTGATCATTTCATATCATTAATACCAATTGTGTTTTAAAGAATCATCAATGGTAGTGCAAGGGATTATATAAAAATTAAAGTATTGGAATGATGGGGACATCTAGAGAAAATTATAACATTTTGAATTGATATAGAACTTGTTGAAATTACTGAAGTATTTATACATAATATTTATATATTCATAGTTTTTAGAGTAGAATTAGAAACTACACAAAAATTAGGATATATATCATTAAAACTAATAGAGATCATGTCCATCTAATACTAAATCATCTAACTAATAGTGATCAGGTCAAAATATGAATATTCAGTGTTTGAATTTTTTTATCAGTTTTGAATTAATTATAAATATTAATAAAATAATAAGTGAAATATAGTAGGAAAAAATAATAGATATTTAAAGAAAGTCAAATTCTACTAAAAGTTAATGTGTTTTGACTTACATATTTTTTTCTATGAGTACATTTTGTCCACTAAATAATTAAAGATTGTTGTAAAATTTAGTAACTGTCCTGAAGTTTGAATTAGTTGTATGTTAGTGTTATTATCATTAGATAAAAGTGTTTTAAAAATATTGTAAAATAAATAAAAGATTGATTCAGTTTCAGGAAGGTAGTATTTTAAGTACATTTTTAACAAAATGTTAGTATTTGTACATCAAAATATTTGCCAATAAATTCTATTGACATGTGTAAGTTTTAAGAAGAGAATTCATTTATTAATAAAATAGATTTAATTATAAAACATTTAATAATTAATAAATAACTCAATCTTTGTACTAATTTTTTTTTACTTTTAATCTTGTAGCATTATTATACCTCCAAGATGATGAATTACTTGAATCCTAAAACAATAATGGACAAATATTAGAATTACTTATTCACATATTTATAGTTAATTATTATTTACTTGTATAATAATGTTGGCTGAAGAAAGATCATCACGCAAAATATCACAAAGCTTAAGTATTTCTAGTTTTTTAATCCCAGAATCTGATTGTAAAGCTAATTGTCTGAGTTTTGATCTAAAATTTACTGAGATGTCAACAACTAAATTATTTTTGATATCAGATTTAACCTAAAATATTTCAATTAATTTTATTTAAAGTAAATTTAGTATTTTAAATAAAATTATATTTAGTATTTATATTTACCTCTGAATTAGTTAAATTAATACCAAAAGAATCTAATGTTTTAGACACCAAATTTAAGGCTTGAATTATTTCTAATTTTGAACAATTGAAACTTAAATCCTTAAAATAAAAAAAAAAATGTACAGATAATTCTTACATTTTGCTTAAATTATAATGTATTTAGAATTAAAACTATCAATGAAGGTAATGATTTTTAGCAATACCTTAAGGAGTAGTTTATTAAACATATTAACAAGTTCAATAAGTAAATTTAAAACTTTTGATGTATTAAAATCAGCAGCAAGATTAATTATTACTTTATTTTCAATATCGTCAATTTTCTAAAACAATTATTATCAAATACAAATAATTAAATATCTGAAGTTAGAAATATATAAAATTTTCTTACTTTTAGTAAAGTAGGGTCAGGAATATGCTTACTGTTAAAAGTATTTAAGTGATTATAACAACTACAAATGAAAGAATCAAATTTCTTCAACACCCCACAAGCTGTGACCATGGTGTCGTCATTTAATTCCAAATCTAAAAAATATTTTATTAAAAATAAAATGATACTAGTTTTAGAAATCAAAACAACTTACCACTTTTGTAATTTGATAATAAACATAAAGTTCGAAACTGATTTGCTGTATATGATTTAAGTAATTCGCTAACACTTATGGTGTTTTTTAATGATTTTGACATTTTAATATTATCTCCTATGTGTAAATGTCCTAAAACATTAAAAAATCGAATGATCATAAAACAAAATTAAAATAAATAATAAATATTAATGGATACAAACCTGTATATATCCAATGTTTTACCCAATCATCAATACCATGATATGCACAGCATTGTGCTTCTTCATTTTCATGATGTGGAAACAGCAAATCTATTCCCCCTGAATGTATGTCAACACTGGATCCAAAGTAATGACTAAAAAATTAGTTTAAATAAGATTAACCTATTTTTAATATAATTCACGGAATAAAATATATACCTAGCAATAGCAGAACATTCTATATGCCATCCTGGTCTCCCAGGTCCCCACAATGAATCCCATGAAGGCTCTCCTGGTTTTGCTGCTTTCCATAGAGCAAAATCTAAATTACTTCTTTTAAATGAATGTGATATGACTTCAGGTACATCAAATAACTTTCCATATTTTCTATATTTGGTTGTATCAAAGAACAATGAACCTTTTTATATTGGAAACTATTTAATTTAAAGGTTTTGGCTAAATTTTCAATTACAGTATTAGTAAATATTTTCAAAACTTACCATCAAAAGAATAGACTAAATTTTTATCATAAAGAACTTGAATAAAATTTAATATCTGCGGAATGAAATCAGTGACTCTTGCCATAATATCTGGTGGCTTGATATTTAACAATCTCATATCTTCAACAAATTCTACTTCATAGTTCCTTAAAATAATTGGTATAATTTGGCTATCAGTTTTGAATTACAGTAAAATTAAAATATAAGTTAATAAATTAGTGAAATAATAATTCAAACCTGGCTAATTTAATTGGATCTATATTTGCCGCTCGTGACTTAGCAATTATTTTATCATCTATATCAGTAATATTCATTACTTGAAATGTAGGTAATTGAAAATAATTTTCCAAAATTCTCCTAATTATGTCAAATTTAACATAACAACTAGAATAGATTTTCAAAATTATGAAAGTATTAATTAAGTTATTAAATTACAAATATAAAATGTTCCAAAATAAAAACAAACCTTGCATGTCCTATATGCATGGAATCATACACTGTAGGACCACATACATACCAAGTCAATGGTCTGTTACTTTTTAATGGTTTATTAGTTTTACTTTTTCTATTGAACACAAGTACATTTGATTTATTAGTACAAAATAAACGATTAAACAATAACTTATTTAAAACATTAAGATTACGCATGTTTAATATTTAATTAATATTTCAATGCAATATAAATATTATTAAATCATATATAATACAATACAAAATTCTAAATTCCACTATTTGTATTTAACTTAAAAAAAAAAAATTGATTGATGAATAAATTAACTGAACATTGAACAATTGTAAACTACAAAATTTAGTAATTTGAACAAAAGTTGATAGTAAAAACCTGAATAAAACATCAACAATGTAAGCACAGATAAATATTGTCATTTAAGTAATAAGTATCAAGAACCTATTTAAGTTCATTGAAATTTTTTAAAATCAATTTTAATGATTAACTGTTATCGTAAATTTAGGGTCCGTCTATACACAGGAATGCACCTTGTGCGTTCTACGCATGTGCTTAATTTATTCACCACTATCATAATATTAGGCTATTGTTATCAATATACCATATCAATCACAATAATATTATAATAATGTGAGTTATGAATCAAACTATTCAAAATTTAATTACGTCTAATGTAAATAATATATTGTCATTTTATTTTGGTTGTTAAAGAATAATGTTCAGTTTAATAAATAAATGTAATAAAATGTTAAATAAAGTTGTTAATAAACATGTTAAATGTATAAAGTATAATAATAATATTTAAGTTTTTAAATTTTTAATCAAAACACATCAATTAATTTTATTTCTTAAAATGAGAATGTTCAGTATCGTCACAACTTAAAATATAATTTTTTTTTTTGTAGAAGTATATTATTGAGTTGTTCAGTTTCAACTCTGATTGGTTTTGATAATTCATTGAGTTTTTCCTGGTTTTTTTTTTTTTGTACTGAAGAATGTATCTTGTGTTTTAAGTTTTTTGTTTGGTGGTTCATATACTGTCTTACTAAAATCTTCAAGTGTCTTGTCATTATTTGATATTGCATCAATGAATGCTTCTATAGAGTTTAATTGTTTTAATGCTTGTTTAAGATGTTCACTATTTTTTATATTGTTTATTTTATTGGCTAGGTTAATAGCCTTTTCTTAAAATTATTCTTGCATATTTATTGTTTTTTTATTTTCTAATGTCTTAATATGAACTTGTATTTCATTATCTTTGTTTGAAGGTGCATTAAAATTGGTATTTTCTGTATTTGCTGCTGACAAAATAGTAATATCTTCAGAATTTTCTATTGACATTGTTTTCAGAGCAACATAATGAATGTGCTTACATATCATTGACTTGATTTGGTAATCAGGACAAGAACATTGAAATGTGTGAATACACAATTTACAAATATCATTGGACAACATACATCATCATTTTTTTTTATTTTATAAAACTGACTTGGTGTATATTCACTTTCAACAATCCAGTCATTAATACTATCCTGATTGATTGTAAGATCAAGTAATGTACTCTTACTGTGTATTGTGTATCTTACTATTATTGTGTCTTTTTTTTATTTCTTGTATCCTTGTTCTTGTTTTTCCCTTAGTTAATTTTATAATTCTTTCAACTTTTTTATCACGGGTATATCTTCTAATAGCTGTTATACTTTTATCTAACCGCCCAATTTTGTAACCATTTAAATAGTAATATTTTATTGTTTTGTACGTAGATTCTAGATGCATATTACAATTTACACCAAGATATTTCCGATGACAATATGTCCACAAACCAACTCTATTTCCAATGGAAATTGGAAATATTCCAAATTTTCCATACATGCGATCAAAATATATCTAATAAATAAATAAAGTCTTTAGTGTTTGGATCATTCATTAGCTCATGGTTAAATTCTTTTAAAGCATTATTAAAATCGTTTTCATCACACATTGATTGAAGAACTTTTAGAGATTTATATATAGTTCCTTGTTTTTCCTTGCGTGTAGGTTAGTTATCTTGCAAACGTTTTGTCTCCAAACTCTATCTACATGCCATGAACATAACAAAAGATGAGAAACTGAGCCCATTGTATTTTCCCAAGCCAAATAAAACGTCTCAACTATATCAGTCATAAAAGTATCTGGACTTATTATACCTACTTTATTTTTTATAGTTGAAAACACAAGTGAGTAAATTTTAGTACCCTTTAAATTTATGAACATAAAGCAACACGGAAATCCAGAACCAAAATCATGAACCACTAATAATGTAACCAACTCAAAATCATATGCATTAAGACCATGTGTACCATCAATACTTACCATTTTTCTATATCTAAATTGTTTTAACATATGCAATAACCAAACATTATGATGGTGGTGAATAAATTACATGCTTGCACAGAACGCACAAAGTGCATTCCTGTGTAGACCAACACCGTCGTTATCATTTTGTTGTTATCAAAAATAAAATTTTTATCATAATTATAATTTTATCATCAGTTATAAATTTATAATAATTGAATTACATTATTTAATTTGTTACAATGTAATATTATGATATAAATTCAAAATTGTATATTCAAATAATGAAGGCAGTCAAGTTGTTCTCGATATTTATTGTTCTCCCTGTATTTATTTATAATTTAGACGTGCTTAATCTTTTAATATAAGAATAGGTAGGTATAGGAAAATTGATGCGGTCTGCGATTAAAATTAATAGTTGAGTAACAGTAGTACTATAAAGAATTTAAAAATGTAATATAGGTGCCTAAACAATACATTACAATTAATTTACTAATTAACCATTTATCTTACTTAAATAGTCAAATAATAAGCAATTAGATCTCCATTAAAGTAAACTTATTATGTAGTAGTTTAATTTTTAATTAAAACTTCTAACGCTTTTAAAACTATTTTTGATTATCCGAGTTTATTTAATAATTATTGTATAGCAGTGTAGCTGTGTACCAAAAAAACAAAGAATAATATATATAACTATATTAGTGAAGATAACTTGATATGAATGGGTTATTTCATTTTATTATTATTTGTACCAATATGACATATTGTAAAATATAAATAATATTTGGAGAGTCGAGAATAAATGTGACAAAGGCACTAAGTTTTAAAAAAAGTTTTGTTTTTAACTCGTAGACAATTTAAATTTTAAATTTAATAAAATATAAAATACTTTATAAAAATAATACATATTAATATAATAAATTATATAAAAATAATAAACATTAAATTAAATAATACTTATATCAATTAATTTATTAACCATAATGCTATGTTTTATGTAAAATTATTGTAGTTGGAATTATATTTAGTAAATATTATGTTAATTTATTATTATTAGTTATGTGAATTCGTAGAACAAACAATTAAATTGTTAACTAAAACAATCATTATTTCGTTTAAACTGTATTTTTTTTATTATATTCTTTAAATTAAAAATTAATTATTTTACATCTAATTTTATAAATATACTGATCAAATTGTACATCTATTAACTTCATAATATTAACATTTATAGTTATAATTGTAGTTAAACATTTAAAATTGTTGTTCCAACAGTTTTTTTTTTCATAAAACAATTAATGGGTTGTATTTATTGAGTATAAAATAGTTTTACTTGCTATGTTGTAATTTGTGTAATAATACTTTTCCTCTTATATATTTTCAAGCAAAAAAAAAAAATTCCCACGGAATACATATATATATACATTTTTAATAGACCTACCATTATGTAAGGTAATTACAGTAGGTATTTAATTACTGACATTGTTTATCGCATATTAAGTAGTGTTGGGCGTAATCAATTAATTTACGATGAAATTATGTAATCGATTACGATTAATTTATTGAATTACATTAATTATTAATCGTTTAATCATTTTTTAAAGAAGTCAGTAATGGCGATTTCATTTGTAATCGTTAATCGTTGTTACTGATTTTATTTATATTATATTTCTTTAGACTTTAAATAGTATGCATTTTCAATCTTTCAATTTAAGTCCTAGAACTAGAACCAAGAATTTATCTTCTTCTGTATATATAAAACAGTAAGCTGATTGACTGCTATCAACGCACAACTCAAACCATTGGACGGATCTGGCTGAAATTTGGCATACAGATAGCTATTATGATTAGACGTGCGCTAAAAAATGATTTTTCGAAATTTTGAATTTAAAGGGTTGAAATCGGTTTAATATTTTTTGACCAGGTCGATAACTGCGTTATTGAAAATTAATTATATTAAATAAAACTATTAAAAAATTATTAAAAAACTTGATACACAAATCATGAGTGGCTGGCAGAAAGAGCAATTTTAGTAGCAAAAAATGTGGAGGTCAACGAATTGAATCTCAAGATACAAAATTTGTTACCAGAAAACTTGGTGTCATACAAATCTAGATACAGTTTGCGATGCTACTGAAGTTGTAAATTATCCAACAGAGTTTTTAAACTCATTGGATTTACTAGGCATGCTACCGCTTAATTTACAATTGATTATTACAATTTACCATTGATAAAATACCTCCTTCAGAGTCATTTAAAGTTGTAATACATGCAGATAAAAAATCACCAGAAGAACATAGAGGCAGGTATAATGCACCAACGGCAAATGGAGTTGCTTTAGTGTTAGTAGATCAGCAGTTTGATCGAAGAGACATCATCCTCGAAAACCGAAGTAACTCACTTCATCGTATCAGTGAAATACAACGAGCATACGACGCACTGCAGTATCCTTTAATGTTTTGTTGGGGGGGGGGGATGATGGGTATGCAATCAATATACCACAACGCGATCCAAAAACCAAGTTACCGCTTAAAAAAACTGTCTCTGCATCAAGTTTTTACTCATATAGAATAATGGTCAGAGAAGGGGAAAACAACTATTTAGTTAATTATCGTTCTCTTTTCAGTCAATATTTGGTAGATGAATACGCCAAAATTGAAACTGAAAGACTAAATTACATCAAAAACAACTAAGCCAAATTGCGTGCAGATAGTTATATTCATTTAAAAGATGCGATTGGACGACGATACATAGAAGCTAATCGGTTAGGCCAAATGGTTATACTCCCGTCAACTTTTACTGGTGGGCCAAGGTACATGCACGAAAGAACACAAGATGCTATGACTTACGTTAGACATTACGGTCGTCCTGACCTTTTTATTACTTTTACATGTAATCCTCGCTGGGACGAGATAAAAGAGCTCTTACTTCCCGGTCAAAGATCATATGATCGACATGATATAATTGCAAGAGTGTTTCGGTTAAAAATCAAAAAGACCATGAACTTATTGACAAAAGGTAAAATATTCGGAGAAGTGAGATGCTATATGTATTCAACAGAATACCAAACTGTAGAGAGGTTCAGGTAGTTGTAAGCTATAACTTATCGAATAGGTTATGATAATAATCATTATCTTAAAAACTAAATTAATATGTATAAAATATTATTTCAAAAATCATAATTAATTTAAATTTCAATAAATTTAACAAAATTTAATCTTGGCAGGTTACATACATTTATATACTTAAACCCGGCAACGACGGGTAATTCAGCTAGTAATTAATACAATTTCTGGAATAGAATTTGAAAAAAATT